AATGCGCGAAAGCAGATCTTGACGCATTGATGCTGGTGTTCCACACCTCAGCTCACGGTTGTAGAAAAACTCGGAACTGAGCTTTAGCATTTCGACATGTGGACGGTACACAGTTCTGAGAGCACAACTTGGTATGCGACGATGATTTTCCCCAATGTCTAATACCGATCTATAACTGACTTCTCTAGCTAGTGGACAATTAGAGATGCCAACGTAAGGTGGTAACTGGTAAAGGTCACCGATCAACGTGATGTGAGCGTCTTGGAACCGTGATATGAGCGTCATCAACGCTGCTTCAGGTACCATAGAGGCTTCGTCTATCAGAATTCTGATCCACGAGTTTCCAACTCGTCTCCAAAAACCTTGTTTACGCGTGAGATTTAACGCCGTAGAAATTGTACAAAGGTATACGTTGGGCGCATAAAGTTTGATGAATTTACGCGTGAGAATTTTTAGTTGTGAGGAAGACCGTTCTTCCAAGAAAAACAATTGTTTGTGCTCTTTGTTAGCTACCTGGATGTTGGGACTACTAAACATGAATTCGCGAAGCCGTTGCCGGTCTTCGGAAAAGCGTTTGAACGTTTTGTATAGGTCTTCGGATAACAAGTGGCGATGGGTGGTATGGAAGTTCTCCATGAGTGTGTGGAGCGCGAAAGGGGATTGGTTATAAATGTCGTGCGCGAGGATTTCGCTGACATACCGGATAGCTCTGATATCGGGGGATTGCAACTCAGCGATTTTCTCACCGATGATATCGAGAGCACCATTTTGAACGGCAGTAACTAAAATTGTATGTTCACGCGTTACCGATTCTTGCGCCATAACGGCTGCGCAGAGAGATTTACCTGCACCAAACGCGCTATCAACTATATTGATAGGATACCTCTTGTTGAACATATTAACAGCTGAAACTTGATCAGGATTGAGTTGTACGGGCGATCCTGCTACTGAAACAGTGATGGCCTCTTTATTGGGGTACGCCTCACCTTCGAGTGTGATGTCCCCTGCCAGAAATGCTCGTGCAATTTTCCAGCCGTTTGAATTGGGACGTATATTGGTCATGCATGCGTTGTCGAGCATGGTGAGAACAGGATTGGCTCGTTCATGCAAGAGTGTGTAGCGTGGTACCGACGGCAATTCTTTTATTTCTGGACGTGAGGAGGTACGACCTGAATCGTATTCCGTCAGGTGTGTCCAGGCGAATTGTTACGTCAAGGGTCTTTCCGTCCATTTCAACATCGAGAATTTGACCGTGGAGAATGTCATTCTCGTATGCACCTTGAATGGGACGATCGACAGCCCATCCTGTTTTCTTACCGATGGGGATACTAAATTGAGCTAATACGGGGAAGCTATTAATATTTGGGGATGACCATACGGCTGCGTAAACGGTGGAATCATTGGCTTCCGCAATACAGGCAGCGATAGCTCCACATGCGGTGCTATAAAGGGGTCCCAGGAAGGGGACAATTTCGTTTGGCCTCTCCTTGAAAACCTCGAATACTGTGTTCCGTCGGAGCGCTAGATCCTTGTATGATTGGCTGACATTACGTATTCCGTATGGAGCCGGGGGTGGGCTGGGAATGTAAGGTATGTCTGCCATGAAGGAGGTGAGTTCCCTGGGTGAGCCTTTGTACTGGCACGCGAAAACCATGTAGTCTATTTGGCGTGGACGAAAAGGTGCCGTAATGAACGAATTAGCCGAGATCTCATCTGCTTTCTGAGGATCTTGCAAACGTAAATATGACGCGTGGACTAGTTGATGGTGCCCTTGCATGCAGAATTGCATCGAGAAACTAGGCTGACGTTGTACTGACACTACGAATCCCATTGTAGGCTGAGATCTCTATGTAAGAGTGCGAATCGCGCAACTCGCCATACGTTGGGTTTGCGGTACGCCACTGCCTCGCCTACCGTTTGTGGTAGGGCCATATCGGAATTAGCGAATTTCATTGTAACGGCCAGTGAATACACATAGACGAGGTCACCAATAAGAATTTTTGTCAAATCAATTCCTCTTTGGTCGGTGCATATGTTGATTGCGTAGGGATCTAACTGAATAGTATGTAGATCGAGTCGGTCTGGTAGAGCGACTTCAACATGAACGGTCTCTAACTTGACAGAATTACCGAAGAAGGTCTTGACCGGTATAAAACGGGGGCTATATCACCGTCGAACACGAGGCCGTGCACGTAAGAGTTGTCTTTATGCTTAGGTTGGGCTGGTACTATTGGCATTGTTGGGAGCGGCTTCCCTTGTCGACGCCATGCAATCAAATGCGCGCTGTCGTTGTTCTGACGGAAAGCTTCGATGGCTTTTGGGCCGACTGCTTCTAAAATACTAAGGGGTAAACGGGCGCTTGGTGCCTCGTTGAGTGAGGGTGGTGGAAAGAGTCCTTCAATTAGTCCTGTGTACCCTGAAATAGGTATCTTTTCGAAACGCGACACTTCGAGATTAGTATCATAGTGAGGGGTCATTAAAGGGACCAGTTTTGGCTTGAGCAGGTGAGCCCATGGGTGGTTCTCAAAACTTTCCATCGGTCGGCTGGGTTTATGTCTCAGATCTTCCTCAGGTGGTTCATACGGAACTTTTTCAGCTGTGCTTGGGACCGCAATAAAGGAAGGACTGGGAGGCCGTAGAGAAGTTTTGTCTACGAGTGACGCCAGCTGGTCGCTATGCTCCTCGGTGTCCATCGGCACATCGTCCTGTTGTGGTGGCGGTTCATTAGTGACATCCACCACCGATTGATCCATATCAGGGGGTGCAGTATCTTCATCTTCGGAGTCTTCCGAAGAGGACGATCCCTCTGAATCCGAAGAAGAACTGGAGGAACTAGAGGAGCTCGAACTATTCAGAGTTGTCCGATGAGTCTTTATTTGCACGTATTTTGGCATATTTGGGAGCTGGTTCCTCCGTGGAGGTAACGAGCGACTCTTTCGAAGGTAACTTATCTGCATCTTGCTGTGGCTCTGACGCAGAATCCGTCGCCGGAACGTCCTTGTTATCGTCCGTCATCTCGTTGTCGACACATGGACGGTCAGTCACTGTTTCCTCCACCGTGACGGCAACATTCGAATCTAGAACCAAGGGTATTATGCCGTTAAAAAGTGACGAGCAAACGCTAAAGGGTGATGAGGCGAAATACCATCGTCCGGAGTAGGAATGTGTTGTGGTGAGAGTTCCTCTCGTGAGGTAACGCTCTGAGGAGGATCGTCACCTTTAGGTTGGGATAAAAGAGAGGGCGATTGTTCCATATTGTCTGGAATAGCATACGAAAATTATTCCAGCGTGACCCGTATAGCATACGAAAATTATTTCAGCGTCACCGTATCGCAAACAGTATTCAGAAATGAACTTTAAACGGTAAATCGTAGCTACGAAAGTGAATTATATTAGCGGTAGATTAAGTAGTGTCAGAGGAAGGAAAGAATAGGGCAAAGAATTACATATGATTTTGAATTACATATGGTTCAAAGAAATGAGGTGAGAAATGAGCATGAGATTAGAGGAAGTACGCTTACGGTTGAGGCTTACGTGGCCGGAGGTTATAAGGGTGTGAAGCTTGCTGGGGTATCATGGTAGGACTGTTGTGGGTAACGGCGTGATCGTACCCTTTGATAGACGCGGTCGGTAGATGAGTCACTAGCTCCTCCTCCTCCTCAAGAATCGTGGGAAGGGTTGAAGCCGGGCCGGTGCACTCGAATATTTTTTTGATCTGATTCAAATGCACTCTACGTGGCTTGGCTTGTGGTGAAGTAATGCTCACGATTGTGGCATGTGGTGGATCCATCTGGATAACGCGGAACTGACCAATCCATGGAAAGCATAATTTGCGTGCCAACCCCTGCTTGTTCGTATAATTTTTGAAAAATACTCGATCGCCGACTTGAATAGATGATGGTCGGGCTGTTTTGTCATACCCGAGTTTCATTTTTGCTTTATAGTTGCGTGCAAAATCGGCCGCATTAGACCATGCAAGTTGCAGAGCTGAAACCAGCTGCGCTCGGTAGTCCAATACTCCGTTGGAATCAGGTATAGAAGTTGGTTCCTGTGGGTTAAGGATACGGTCGATAACGAAAATGGGATCGCGTCCGAATAATAGAAAGTAAGGAGATTCACCCGTAGCCTCATTTATAGTAGTATTGTAGCAGAAAGTGACGCATGGTAAGAAAAGATCCCAATCTTCCTTGTTTGAGGTTTATGAATTTAGAAAGCATGACTTCAAAGGTACGAAAAGTACGTTCTGTTGCCCCATTTCCCATGGAATGATAGGGTGTGGCGCATCGATGCTGAATGTACAGCAGGTTGCAGAACTCCTGATAGAAATGGGATGTAAAGCTGGAAGCTTGGTCGGAGATCAGTTCGGACATGGTTCCATATTTGAGTACGCATTCCGTGAGAAGTGCATGAGCAATGGTATTAGCGCGTGCGTCTTGTAGAGGCACAGAAATGACGTAGCGTGTAAACCAGCAAATCATATTCAAAATATAGCGATTACCTCGTTCAGTTATTTTGAGTGGTCCACATAGGTCTAAGCCCACCTTTGCAAAAACTGCTTCACTGTGCACTGGTATTAGTCGTTCTTTATACGCTGGATTTGGTTTGCTCCGCATCTGGCACGTCATACATGCTTGACACCACTGGTGAACATCAGCATAGACTGATGGCCAATAGTACTTGCGCAATATCTTAGCGAGTGTTTTTCTCCATCCCATGTGTCCGCCAGACAGGGCGCTGCTGTGATGGGCGTTAATGACGAGGGGTTGAAGTGAACTAGGTATTAGTAATAAGGGAGCTGGTGAATTATCCCGACGATAATACAGACACCCGTTAGATGCAACCGTAACTTTGCTCGCGAAATCGGTTAATGACGCTTTTTCCTGGTCTGTGAATGAGGAAACTGCAGAATTATCCTGTTTGAAATGGAATACCTTTTGAAGGAACTCGTCTTTTTGCTGTTCTTCTGCCATGTTCACAGAATGGTCCATACCTCTGATGAAGGTACGACACGGCATAACCACGGGTAACTGGTGTTCCTCTGATACGCGGCAAGTCAGTGGTAAACTGATGGGGAATTCAATGATGTCATGAAGTTCGTCATGGGAAGTGTTGGGCTCGTCCCTACTTTCATTCGCTCGGGAGAGAGCATCAGCTACCGTATTCTGTTTGCCCTTTATATGTACGACCTTTATGTCATAACTCTGCAACTCGATGAGCCAACGAGCTAGGTTATCATGCGTTTTACTCTTATTAAGAAGAAAAGAAGAGAGGTTTATGGTCGCTATGGAGAATAACCTTTGTCATACATATGTATGGTTTGAATTGGCGTAAGGCGTAGATAATAGCACCCAGCTCAATTTGAACTGCAGGCCAGCGGCGCTCAGTTTCACTCAAAGTGCGGCTACAGTAAGCCACTGCGTAGAACTTATTCGTATTTTCCTCGAACTCTTGCATGAGAGCGCCTGCTTGTGCAAATGCACTAGCATCTGTGAAAATGTGGAATTGCTTGTCATAATTGGGGAAGCCTAGAATGGGTTTCTGAAGAAGAGCATCCCGCAATTCCACGAATGCTGACTCTTGGCGGTCTGTCCACTGGAACTTGTTGTCTTTACGGGTAAGCCATGTCAACGGTTCAGCGATGGTAGCAAAATTCGGTATGAATTTTCTGAAAAAGCCCACCATGCCAAGAAAACGTCGTACTTCTTTTACGTTACGCGGTGTAGGAAATTCTCGGACTGCTCGAGTATTGGCTTCCGCAGGGGAATAACTGTCCTTATTTATAAGGTGCCCTAGGAAAGTTATCTGTTTTCTGGCGAATACACATTTTTTAGGAGATGCTTTGAGGTGGAATTGCCGCAATCGAGAAAGAACGCTTTTGATTGCCTCTAAGTGGGACGGAAAGTCTTTGCTGTAGATGAGGATGTCATCGATGTATGTGAGCACATGGTCATCTAGACCTCCTAGCACTTTAGCCATTATGCGGGCAAAATAGCTGCCGGCCGCCTTTAACCCAAAAGGAAGATGGGTCATCTGGTAAACCTTATTTTCTGTGATGACACCGCACTTATAACTACTCTCGTCATCAAGGGGCAATTGTAAGTAACCGCTTGCTAAATCTAATGTGGTGTAAAATTGATTGCCACCGATCTTCTCCAGGACCACGTCGATTCGTGGCACTGGGTACGGATCAGGGAGGGTTTTAGGTAACCGCATTAATTGGGCGACGCATGTCAAGACAAACTCGCAAGGAATTATCCTTTTTACGCACCACGACTAAGTTGTGAACCCATGGAGTGTGCGATTCTTTCATGACACCTGCGCGTAACAACATGTTAATGTGTTTCTGGAGTTCCTCGCGATATTTAGTGGGGACTCTATATGGTCGGATTTTCGCCGGAGGGTCATTTGTCGTGAAAATATGCACTTTCCCAGCTGTACAGCTTCCTATATCATATTGATGCTTAGAGAAAACGTCTGAAAATAAATCAAGGAGACGCTGTAGTTGGCAACGTTGTTTGGGATTCAAATCACAGTGATCAAGGTCGACTTTGTAAGACGGATCCCTTGGCGTAATGTCCGCGACGCATGAAATCGCCGGTGGGGAATTGAGGTTATCCTCAGACAGCGTGTGCTCATCATTAGTGACTGCGATGGCCTTCGCCAGACGCATACCCTCGTACAGAGTAGCTGACTGATTGGTCAGATTTGAGATCAGAAGGACCGGTTGCTGAGATGAAATAATTGCGGGAGCTACAATGAGGTCCCTTTCGACGAGTTTTTCGCATTGTGAGATTAGCATAAGGTCTCTTGAGGGCGAGGGATCTTGGACCACGCATGAGACGAAAGACTCAGAGTTAGGTGGTAGTGTTATGGTGCGCACCGCGCGAACATGATGGATATGGCTACTTACGGAAGGAAGGCGCGCGGCGAATTTACCAAATGGGAGTACTGTAGATCCGAAGGACACCTTTTGATCGCCGAAGTGAATGGACATCATGGGTAGCAATGTGAGGGTGTCGTTTCCTAAAATCACTTCATAGATCGAATCCGCGTGTGGTACGCAACGAATTTTTGTGAAATGAAGGATAGGGTGAATGACGATATCTGCGATGTGCATTGTTACCTGTTTGGATCCGGCTAATGCAACTGGGGTACCCGCCATGCCCACGGCTGAATCAGCCTTAGGTGGATCTAAGTGAAAGATGCCCAGAGCGGGACATAGATCTTGAGCCGCGAGTGTGATACAGGAACCGGTGTCGATTAGAGCAGTAACGTTGATATTATTTATTTTGATACGAATATGGGCCGAAATTGGTATGTCCAAAGATGCGACATGGAAAACTGTAGGAAAAGAATGCTGAGTATTTGTTGGTTCCGTTGTGGACGGTGGTGTAGGTATGTGATCCCGTAATGTCATCGCGCTACTTGGAATACGCCGTGCTTGTTGAAAGCGGTGCAGGATGTGCGTAAAAGGCGTAGGGGAGGCAAAAGACATATACATGGCAAGTAAGGGAACCACCGTTTTAAATGTTACAATGAAACAGCATGTGATGACCCATGGTTGATAGAGATATGATAAGAGGAGAGAGAAAGGCTGAAACGTGAAAGGAGATTTGATGGACTGAGTAAATGAAGGGGGAAGATCCTGGGAAGGATGCGGCTCCAAATGAGCGTCCAACGCCGCTTGGGTGCCCTCTATTGCAGACCACAATTCGTTAAAATGTAAGTTGGGGAGGAACTCGCTAATATTTGTGAGCACGAGGTTATGAAAAAGTGTAAGGGCTGGCTTGACCTCGTGGATAGCGGGATTAACGGCGTCTGGTATTACGGTAATGAGGGATGGTAACACGATCTCGTGATGCCCTGTCATTGGATAATATCGCGTGATTGAGTTGTTATTCGCGAATTCGAACATCATACGTTCTTTACACTCAACAGGCGACGCCTGAGTGGTTAGGATCTTGGTAATGGGGTCAATGAAGGTTTTCCAATGAGAGCCGTCTGGAAGCCTTATAAACACTGATGGTAATGAAAAACACGAACCGTTGAATTTCATTAACTTATAGAGGGAGCTGTCAATGGACACGCAAGACTTCGTACGGACCACATTGTCACCGACATACACGGCTTCAATGTCGGACCTGTGTAAAATTTTACGCATCGCCAAAGTAGGATGAGCCGATATAGCACTACTGAGAGATCTACTGAGGGAATTCACTGACTTGCAAAGATGTAGGATTGAATGATGAAAGGAATTATTTAGAAAATGTTGCATGTTGTCCTCTACAGCTAAAAGTTGGGCCGCTAATTGGTTCGTAGTAGCTACTCCGACTTGTTGAAGGAAGGGGTTAAGCGTTTCCCGTTTAGACCGAACTTGTGTGGATATGATTTCAACACCGTAACCCTGATCGGTGATTATAAGGCGATGGCCACAATCATGCTGTCGGGGGTCGGCCAAAGCAAAAGAGAGAGCAAATTCTTTGGACTCACTGAGCCAAACCTTATCTAGCAAAGTGCCCTTCATGGGCGAAACTAATATGTACCTGCACTGTTCGTTGTGTTGCGGTGACCATACGACGGCTGCTCCGGTGTTAGTAGTACAAAACCCGTCTCTATAATGACAGCCGGACAGTGTGCCAATAGGGCTTTCGACAGTAGATGAGCCGTGATAGGCGAATACTGTAGTCTGAAAAACAATGCAATTGGTTACCGTGACACTGTTTTCCGAGCAGCACTGAAAGGGTGCTGAGGGCCATACGAAATCCAGTTTATTCCTAGTTTTCCATACAGTGCCCACCGCGCTAAGCTCACCGTATGCACAGGCTTTGTCACGGATCATATGCTTGCAAATACCTAGAGGAACTGCTGATTCAGCTGTGGTCGTAGTTTGCGACCTCGCACCAAAGAAATTGACAGAGTACTTTGTAGTCTGTGAAATTATGCGACACACGTGAGCCGTACTTTGATAGCGAATGGTGTTTGGACGGTAAACATTGATCGTAAGAGCCCGAGGAGTTGCATAAGCGGGTGGCAAAATTCGTGTGCAGTTGATCTGATCAGGAATTTTCCAGTAAGTGAGGGGAGATTTGTTGGAACACAAGTACGCTGGAGGAAGGAGAGGTGAGAAGAGGTCTGGACGCATGAAGCCAGTGCTAGTATTGACAGGCATGTGCACATCCACGCCGGTGTGGTACTCAAGGAGGGGCGCCTGCGACCTGAGTTACTACCCTCATGATTACTGGAGACAGACATATGCTGGGTTGCGGACACTAAGTCTGCTAACTCATTATTTCCTTTCGATCAGGGCTTGAATACGGGCGTCCTTATCATCTTCTGACAGGGATGACGATTCGTGGGGATCTACCTGTTGCGCTTCGACCGCCATAACGGCGTTTGGGCGACTTGACGGTGGGTATTGGAATCGAGTCTCACGCTGTTGTACGCCGTTATAACGCCTAGAAGAAGGATCAGGATTGCGATACGCAGGTCTGTTAGGAGGGGCATTATTTGTGCGCGGAAATAACGGTTTTGGTGGCTGCAAATTGGCGGGTGGTAAGCGAAATTTACAAAAAGTTTGAAAGTGGCCTTTCCTACCACAACGATAGCAGACGATGTCAGAATTCGGTGCGCGTTCCCAAAGTCTGCGAGATGAAGTGGGATTAGTGACGAAGGGTGTTCTTTTTCTTGGGATACTGTCGTGAGTACGTGGGACGGTAGGATTCAAAGTCCGCTGGAGCTGATGGACTCCGGGCAGACACAACACGTACCGGCTGAGTACCAGCTACTGCTGCACCTGGCATGATAGTTATAGAATTCGCGACGTCATTAAGGAGCGACTCTAGTGTGGTAGCTTTCACAACCGCTTCATCGAACGTAAGTGGGTTGGCCGCTTTTACATGGAAACGAAGCGCCGGTTTCAAGCGATCCTGAAATTCGTCCAGCAAACGCTCGCTTTGGGCCTGTTTGGGTTGACCGCGGGTCACCTTGCGAACAATCTGCTTTATGCGCTCTGCAAACTCCCGTGCGGATTCATTAGGACCTTGCTTACAGTCCGATAGTTGCTGACGCGCGAGACTTCGAAACTGCTGTGACGCGAAGTGCGCTCGCAGGTGCTCTACGACAGTGGGGTAAGAATTTTTGTCTACGTCGGAAAGGTCCTCAATGATATCTCTCGCGCCACCTTCTAAGAAGCCCACTAGGGTGTTTATTTTGAGCTGATCAGGTAACGGGGGATTAACCATACGTATCACGTCTTCGAATTTCCGCAGCCAGACCTCGAAATCCTGGTCGTCGTTACCAGAAAAATATTGCAACGGCTTGGGCGCGAGCTGCCCGTAGGTCAGGCCGCAGAGTGTTGTTGGCATTTGGTTGCCCTCCATCGAGGGTCCTACCTGGGCCAGACCAGATGAGGGAGGTGATTCCTGACGACTCGTAGGTGTACTGACCACTGACGGCAGAGGTTGAGGAGATGAGTCGACAGCAGATAGGGAGGATGTTGCCAGTTTCTTAGTTGACTTAGAGCGAGTAACAGCTGGGGGAATGATGACGGGTGAACGTCTAGACGCAGCTGATAGGGATAATGAAGAGAAGTAGCGGCTCTATATAGTTGCTCTCTAGCTGGAATGCCCTTTATCAGTTTCTGCCATCAAGTGGTGAATCATGTGTGCTGAGAACGATGTTGGCATTCAAGAGTATGCTTGTCTCTTGACGTTGTTTTTAGAGAACGATGGGAAACCCTGCCTTTGTGCTCCGATGTGTATATTGAGACAAAGTATCGCTTCACCCTCGCACCAGATTGCTTGCGCGATAAGAGTCATCGCAAATGCTATGCGGCGTGGGATACTGTAACTGTGAAAAAAAAATGATGGGAAAGACGTGAAGAAGAGCGGCAAACTCTTTTGATTCACTGGTTCAAAATTGAAAAGAGTCGCATTGGAGTCTTAACAAAGAATTGAGCGAGGAGATGAAAGCCCTTAGAACAAGCCCGACCGTGCAGCTGGAATTTGAAAGAAGTGAATCATTCTCGGAACGAAACTATTTGAATGTTGGGAAGATCATAAAAGGCGAAAACGAGTAGATGAGGAAAGAGAATGAACTACGTCCTGACAGAATATTTACTGCTACGTATTTTGCGAATAAAGTGGGATCCCTTCTCGTTGCCCTAGAACACTATTTGTCAGCGAGGTACCTGTTATTTTCACCGAATAACATCACTGCGCACTATGTGCAAGGGAGGCGTATTACCAAAACGAAACGAGCTCGTAATGCAAGAGAAGTTGGCCAGACAGCTCCTGCGAATCCGTACCGTTTGATAATCCGCTTGCCCCCCGGTAGAGGCCTATACCGGTCATCTCGCGGGCTAGTCCCGGGAGGACACTTCTTCTAATAAGAGGAAAAGGTTCGGTGAAACGGGGGGTACTATGACGCCCCAACTCGCTGCTACCAGTAAAGGGTCCGAATGTCCTCTTTCACTCGTCCCTTGTCAGTATCCACAAGGCCTCAGGCATGCCTATACAAAACACATCAATTCCTTAGAAACTTCATATCCACGTACAAGTACTACTACAAAAAGGCACAACGAGATCACGATAATAGGAATACACGTCAGGAAGGCTATTACTACACGAAATAGGAAAGCGATAGATGAGTGCTGCGTGAGTACTGCGACCGGTCGGCCTGACAGTCGCAATCATCTGCTCTGGAAATACATTACAGTAGAACACGTGGTACGGTATGAATGGAAGACACTAAAAGGAGTGGTAAAGAAGCTTTAACCTGAGGGGGGGGGTTTTCTGGTTCCCTTACACGGGACGCTTGATTTTAAAGGAGTGATACACAAGGCAGAACAGGACACACTCTTGGTCAAGGGTGACAGAAGGTGATCAACACCTGATAAGATTTGTGAAGGGGCTTTAGAAGGGGAGGGTGACCGAAATCGTAGCGCGAGTTGCAGCAGCTGCGGGATCTTGATCTTGATTCCAAGGGAGTGATATAAGCAATTCAGGCGGGGAAAAACCACTTTTGTTGTGACAGAAGCTGATAATATCTGATAAGATTTGATAAGGGGCCTTAGACGTGGACGTGACCTTGTAGGGCAGGTTGCAGGGTCTGTGGGCACTAACAAGGGAACCCCAACAGGTCGATCCGGCCAATTTGGCAGTGAAGAATGTATATAAAATATTGGACGTGTCTTGAGCGCCGCCGAATCCAAATCTGCCCTCCGATTTTGCGGAGCGATTCTCCAAAGGGAGTTACGGACCATTTAATCTTAGCTCCGTTTGCTCAAGTTGAGAAGGATAACTGCATGCGGCAAGCCGCCGATGGCCTAGTGGATAAGTGCATTGCTTCAGAGACACGAGGTCGAATGTTGGAATCCTTGGCTATCAGAATATCAGAATTTTTTTGCTTTTCATTCAAAACACTCGGTATGAGCCCTCCGAAATTTCTATTTGGCCATTTCGCCTAATTTCTTGATTAGTTGCCAACGAAAGGCGGGCGATTCCCCATGTAGGGTTCCTCTTGAAAACTTTTTTATTATGAGGATAACCACATGTCACAAGGGTTTTTGCAATGAAATACCATCATATTCATGTTCAGCGGGTCAAACTACCCCTGGGGACAAATTTCTAGCCGAATCTGATATTTCCACCTAACTTGGAAATGTGTGCTGTTTCATGGGTAATCGAAAGCATAGGGGAGCTCACCTACCGTTGGTGAATGGTCTCGAGATGGAACTACCTCGTGGTAAAGAGGACGATGATGCAAACGGCAAGAATAAGTAAGCCGGGTAATGTCTTTGCGAAAAGGCACATGAAGAGGTATTTCAGTTGGAAAACCAGTCATCATCAGTATGGTAGTCGTAGTATCGCTTTGGCTATCAGTCAGCCACAGCTATTCATAACCCATTTTCTCGAAAATGAGTTAGAACCTCGGATTCCGCTGGGGTGACGTCTCTAGGGGTTATTTGACCCCCTGAACACGAATATGATACCTGTTTTGCGCGAAGAGCGCTGTGAGTTGCGCTACAGGTGCTAACGCTTTGGCGCTGGCGCGCCCGGAAGAAGAAAAGCAATAAAGAAAAACCTCACAACTCCGCTCAGAGAATCGTTCCGCAAATTTTAAAGATAGTCTTGTGTTCATCGTGGCAAGATGAGTACAATGATGTACATTTCGTTGCAAATGGCCGGGCTGACGTGTTGGCCTTTCCTGGTCAGCTTGTGCAAACACAGCAAAGATTAAATGGTCCGTAACTCCCTTCAGAGAATCGTTCCGCAAAATCGGAGGGCAGATTTGGATTCAGCGGCTCAAGACACGTCCATACGTATACATCTCATTGTAAATGGCCGGATCGACCTGTTGGGGTTCCCTTGTAAGTGACAGCAAGTGATAAGGGTTGAAAGCGTCATCATGCAACACCGCTTACTGCCACAATGCGATTGATATGACAGGTATCAGGCTCTCAGTAGTTCGTACACAACTCACTCCTATGCTCTTACCGCTATCGACATCATGTACGGCCGCTAAAGCAACTGGAGTTCAGATGCATGACGGTTGTTTACTCAGTTGCCATGAACTGCAGCAACTAACTTTATCACTATGACCATGATTATCTTCCATCAACAACCCGAGAGAGGACCATTCGAAGCGCAAGACTGCCGAATGCGGGAGTGCATTCCAGAAAAAAACCCTACAGTGGTGGAGAACGCATTGAGCGGTAGGATGCTTCGAAGGCTGCTCTTACAGGTTGCTGAATTTTCGTGTGAGGGTTATGGAGATTTTTGGTACTAACCCCGAGAAAAGAATGGACAAAAGGATAGATTTCAGCGTTACATTGGGACAACGGTTACAATTCTACCATATATAATCGACTATGTCCGTGCGTGTGCGTCTGTCTCTTTGACACGAAATTCATAGCGCCGGTCCCA